GTTGAACGATCTGACGTTTCGGAAACGACCGCGGTTTCAGGAACCGGCGCCAGGGTCGGCAGGATACGAACCCGTGGTATCCGCATCCTGGCCTAAGTTCGTATGAGCGTCGAGACCAAAGCGGTCAGGCGCGTGCCTCCGTCGGGGGATCGAGAAGCCGCGCCATGACGTTGACGTCGCCGCGGGGGGCTACAGCAGCAGATCCTCGTAGCGCGTGGAGCATCACCAGAGTGGTGAGGCAGGTGCCCGAGCTGAACCACAACGGCCTCGGCAGCGGGCTCGGACCAATGCCAGTCCGCCAGTTGGGATTGCCCTGGTAGGTTTGAGCCAGGGGGGGCCCGTGTGCTGCCTCCATCTCCCGGCCGTGCATCTCCGTATCTGCCAGAAGGTATGGGGTATGGTGGTATGGTCCTCGGTTGGCGTTGACCGCCTCCAGCCTCTCATACAGCCCAGTGGAAATTCCGCTCGCCCAGTCCACGCCGGCAGCGCCTCGTCGACCCAGCTGCGCCAGCACATACCAACGGCACGCTCGCGCGCGGCATACCAATGGCCAGCTCCGTCGTGCGGTCATCGACGCTGGAGGCCATCGAATCCTCTAGGCGAAAGGCATACAACTGGTGCACCTCGGCGGGCACTTCCTTTCTGACGCGGTTGGCTTGGAGGATGCGGCCGAAGAAGACCAGCCATGCCGCTATATCATCCGCCACTCCATGTAGTCTCGAGACTGGGTCGGCCGCCATGATGCCGACTAGCTTGACAACGTCTGCCCGTGCTCTGAGCAGGTGCTTTGCCTGGCGTGGGACAGCCCCCTGGGCCAAGAGCCCATCGGAGGGCCGTAGCCTTTGATGCGGTGGCTTCCGCGTGGCCCGCACCCGCTTGCTTTGACTTGCCCCCGATCTTCCCTCAAAGTGCGCACGGGCGGTGCCATCCATAATGTCTCACCGATTTGGATACTCAACCTCGAGGCCCTCAGATCAAGATCCTCTTCCGCAGTGAGAACGGCGTCTTGCAGCTGTGGCCAACCCCATGCAAGTGGACACGAGGGAGGCGGGCGGTCGCTCTCCGTCTAACAAGTTAACGAGCTTCCCTGGAGTTGACCTCCTCACGCGCCTAACCCCGGAGGTCACCCGTCCCAAAGTTGGAGGGTGCTACAGAGCTGCGGAGGGAGCGAGGGAGGGAGCAGGGAGGAGCAGAGGAGGAAGAGGGAGGAGAGAGAGAGAGAGAGAAAAAGAAAAGAGTCAACATCGTTTTATCGACCCCTATCCCATCCCATTCCCATCCCCATCCAGACCCCCACCATCTCAGCCCCCCAGTTGGAGACATACCTATACGACCACCCTTCGGGGGATAAGGAGGTTTGGGGGGGGGGAAATAACCAACTGCTGGCAAACGCGACGGGTGTGATGATGACGATGCTGGTGACGCGCCCTCGAGTTAGGGACGACGCGGGATGGCGATGTTGCGCTGCGATGTAATTTCACGATCGTCCCCGCTTTCGACCTCACTCGATCGATTCCGCTGTCGACCTCATGGTCAGTCGTAGCACCAATGGATTCAGCGATCGACCCCATTGTACTCTCCCCAGGAGAGATCGCCTGTCCCCGCGAGATCGGCGCGACCCAGGGGACCTCGCCTCCCTACGCATCCGACAGCGCGAGCCCAACCACTGTCACAATCAACCTCACCGTCGATTTAACTTGTGATCTCACTATCCATCCCACTCTGGTGATCTCATTATCGATCTCACTATCGACTTCACTATTGATACCAAGGCGGGACACTCCCGGCCACCGCCCGCCGACCGTCGACGGAACACCGACGGAACACCGACGGAACACCAACGGGACACCAACGGGACACCAACGGGACACCACAGGGCACCGCGGCCGGACACCCCGGGCCACCGCACGCCCACTGGGGGCGAAGGTGTGGTCCATTGCATCCGACTCGCCCTAGCGACGGCGGTGTCATTCCTCTCGCGCGCCCACGCAGCCTCGCCTCGTCTGCACGCACGACGCGAACATGAAGCCGAAGCCGATTTTCCGGTGGGGGGCTCGCCGTTCCACCTGCGATCTCAGCCCCCAATCTCCGATATTTCTCGAAACCCGAAGGACACGAACTATGTCCCCATCTAGGGTCCCTCCTTCTCCCTCCTGCTCCTCCTCCTCCTTCTCCTCCTCCTCCTCCTCCTCGTCCTCCTCCTCCTCCTCCTCTTCCTCCTCCTCCTCCTCCTCCTCCTCCTCCTCCTCCTCCTCCTCCTTGCCATCTAGGGGAGTGAACCGGCCAGTGTGGCCCAGGCCATGCCCACGGGGGGATAGGGGTCGGCTAGAGCGCTGCTCGGAGAGATGGAGGGAGGGCAGGGGCCGGCGGCGGCACCGTGTGGGTCCCTCCCAGGCGCGCGGAGGGCGAGGCTCCGGAGCTGCGGCGAGACCCCGGGGACGGCCGCGAGTACTGCAGGGCGTGCTGGGAGGGCCACTACGGCCCGTCCACGTGGCAGGAGGCGGTCGCCCTCTGCCTCGAGGCGGGCATGTCCCTCTACAGGAGGAGCATTCAAAAATAGTCAAAACTAGCACGGGGACGATTTTTTGGTCATTTCTAGAAATGTGTTGGATTACATTTGGACTGCTTTTTCGTCCAAAATCCGCCTGTAGGAGGACATGCCCCACCCAACCTTTGCCCTGTCTCTGAATCCGCCGTGCTGTGGGCGACTTCGCAAGCAGGGCGGAAAGGCGCGCCCTTCTTGTCAAGCTCCTCTGATGCCCATGTCCGCTCTGCTTTGCCGTCGCTGTGTCCGCCATATTTTTGTAGAGCTGTCCGCCTGAATTCTCTGAGGCGGACATATCCGCCCTTTTTCTTCGCATCGCTTGGGGTGCATGTCCGAATGAGTTTGAAATTTGAAAGTCAACCACTGCACGGCGGATCTGGAGTCAGGGTGTTGTCCCCCCTCCTTAATTCCACAACATGAATGAAACTCTCTTCTCTCCGACGAATGTGTGCTGAAAGTGTCCGCCCCTTCTGCGCATTGTTTTTTACATGTGGGCGAGCTGGCCTTTCGCACTTGCTTCCCAAGCCGAACGCTCTCGCTCCTTCCAGAATCGTGCTCCCGCTGCAGCATGGGCCTCATTCTAGGGCTCCCGTCGTTCAAAATTGCGCTATAGCCCCAGCGCGGGGGATCCGAGTCCTTTCTCATCGCCGTCGCTTCCCTCCTATATCTTCCTCCGCCTTCCCCTGGTCCTCCTGCTCCGTCCGCTCCTCCCACTCCAATCCCTGCTGCTGCTGCTGCTGCTGTTCGTCCTCCCTTTCCTCGTTTCTGATGCTCCTCTGTTTCCTCCTGCTCATCCTCCTGCTCATCCGCCTCCTCCTCTTCCTCCTCCTCCTATGTACGCGGCTCCTCTGTTCCGACTTCGTCGCGCAGCACAATGCTGCCGGTTTTGTTTGAGTTCCAGGTCCGCATTGATTGATACGCGGCCGCGGATACAGACAAGTCAACGGTATGGGATTGGAGGGAGGGCTGGGATATCAGATGTGGCTCTAGCGCGCCCAGCTTGCGCCCTCCCTATCTTACCTCCCTTGCCTCCCCCTTCTCCTCCCTCCCTCCCTCTCCCTCTCTCGTTACCCGCCCCCTCCCCTTCTCACTCTCGTTCCTTCCCCTCTCTCTCTCTCTATCCTTCTCTCGCTGCTCCGTGTGCGAGCAAACTGCGAGCTGAAAGGGCGACAGGCGCTGGGTTTGCCGCCGCAATGGTCTGCGAGGCGTGGCTGCCTGCGGCTTCGACAGCCGCAACGCCCAGCAAACGCACGCTGCGCAGGAGGCGCCCAGTGTCGGCACTGCGGCCGAGCCCCTTCCAGCAGGCAGCCACGCCGCTCCAACCCCTGGGACGCATCAGCTTCAGCGCGGCACCGCACTTGGCCAACGAGAGCCACACACACACACATCGCCTTTGCTTCTCTCCTGTCTGCCCGTCTTCCTCTACGTCGAGATGCGCGTTCGCAGGACCCGCACGATCCAGTCGTCCATCAAGTACCGCGCGGACGACGACCAGTGGCTGACAGCATTGTTCGGCACCGTACGATTCGAAACCGACGCTGACAAAGGAGTTCCTCGCTGCTCGACGACGGCGGCACCATCAGCGACTCGACCAACGTTTGGGTTAATCAGTTCCATCAAGAGGTACTCCTGGCAATCAGGGTGGAAAGTGCAGAGCAGTTCAGTATGCCATGGATGACAGCACGATTAAACTATACCATGCCGCAAAGTTTCTGGCATAGCTTGATCCAGCGGAGCGAAGGCAACATCAGTGTATACCCGCCCACCAGGATTTGAGTCAGCACCAGGATTCAAGCGCCAAGGAGATGAGCTGTGCTCTATCACATGCGTTCTTTTCCGGGAATCAGGGCACGTCTGTTTCAGAGATTTTGCAACATGGACAGCGCTATGTACACGTCAGGGCGCGACAAAAGAGGGAGAACATGGCTTTCCGTCAGCAGCAGCCGCAGTCACCATCACCAATGCATACCCATTTTGTCGTATCGTCTTCCTGGACCGAATGCAAACACAAGACCACCTATGTTTGCTCAAACACAAGCGTTGCCTATCAGACAATGCCCTCATCGACTCTCCACTGACGACAGCTGATAATCTACCATGCCCGCTCCGTCCAGATCTGCAGCCGATTATTGAAGACGCCTGCGGCGAATCACCGCCGCTTCCTGCCTTCTACAATCGCCCATGTGGCCTAGCGTTGTGGCAAGAGCTCTGCCAAGCTATCGGGCCATGTGTTCCCCCGGCGTTGTGGAAACCATTCGGGGAACACTTGGGGGAGGATGGCGGGGAAGATCAGGAGCAGGCGGAGGAGGTGGAGGAGGAGGAGGCGGAGGAGGAGGAGGAGGAGGAGAAGGAGGAGGAGGGGACATCTTGGGAGCCTCTGGGAAGACTCTTGGGGCCTCCTGGAAGCTTCCTGGGAGCCTCTCGGAGGCATCTTGGGTGCCCTCTTGGAGGCCTCTTGGGGGCTTTCGGGGGCTTCTCGGGATCCTCTTTTGGCCGTTTTGGTGGGCTCCTGGCCGTCTGATGCCGTCGGAAGCCGTCTTTGGGGCCTCTTTGGGCCGACTTGGGGCCCTCTTGGGGTGCTCCAGGACCATCTTGGGAGGTTTCTTGGGCGTCTTGGAGGCCTACTGGGCCGTCTTTGGGCCCTCTTGGGGCCGTCTTGGAGGCATATTGGGCCGTTTGGGGGCCATCTTGGAGGCTTCTTGGGCGATCTTTAGGCGATCTTTGGGGGCTCTTGGGCCGTCTCGGGCCGTCGGAAAGCCGAAACGAAGCAAATGCCAACATCGCTTCAAAACCAAAGGAAAATCAATGATGACGGCCTCTTCGGGCCTACCTGGAGGCCCTCTTGGAGGCCTCTTGGGGGCCTTCGGGGGCGTCTCGGGATCCTCTTTTTAGCTGTTTTGGTGAGCTCCTGGCCCGTCTGACGCTGTCGGCAGCCGTTTGGTGGGCCTCTTTGGGCCGACTTGAAGCCCTCTTGGGGTGCTCCAGGGCCATCTTGGGAGGTTTCCTGCGCGTCTTGGAGGCTTCCTGGGCCGTTTTGGGGCCCTCTTGGGGCCGCCTTGGGGGCATATTGGGCCGTTTGGGGGCGCCATTTTGGTGACCTCTTGGGCGATCTCGGGGCGATATTTGGGGGCTCTTGGGCAGTCTCGGGTCGTCAGAAGGCCGAAAAGAAGCAAATGCCAAGAGCGTTCAAAAACCTTAGGATAATCAATGATTTTGGCCTCTTCGGGCCTTCCTGGAGGCCCTCTTGGAAGCCCGTTGGGCCGTCTTGGGCCATCTGCCCGTCTGATGCCGTCGGAAGCCGTCTTCAGGGCCTCTGGGCCGACTTGGGGCCCTCTTGGGGTGCTCCAGGGCCGTCTCGGAGGCTTCATTGGGCCGTCTTAGAGGCCTCTTGGGCCGTCTTGGGGCCGTCTTGGGGGCCCTTTGGGCATTCCTGAGGCAATTTTGGAGGCCTTTTGGGCGCTGTGGGGGCGATCTTGGAGGCCTCTTGGGCCGTCGAAGGCCGAAGAGGAGCAATTACGAAAATTTGTCGAACAACCCAAGGAACATCAGTGATTTTGGCCTCTTCGGGCCCTCCTGGAGGACCTCTCGGAGGCCTCTTGGGCCGTCTTGGAGGCCTCTTGGGCATCTCTTGGGCAGTCTTGGGCCGTCCTGGAGGCTTCTTGGGCGGACTTGGAAGTATCTTGGACCCTCTTGGGCCGTCTTGGAGGCCATCTTGGACCATCTTGAGCGAACTTGGAAGTCATCTTGGGCCATCTGGACCCTCTTGGAGGCCATCTTGAGCCGTCTTCGATGATTTGTTCCAGACTTTGAGGTCGTTTGCGCGCCTTTGCAGTCCTTTCCGGGTGGCCGGCGGGCTGGGCTGGAGCCCCAGGGGAGCGCTCTTTTCGAAAAAGAATCAAAACCAAAAACAGAATGGGTCCAGCACGCCGGGCACCCCTGTGGCAAGCCAACAGGGGGCGGCGAATCGAAGACGCCTGCGGCGAATCACCGCTGCACCCTGCCTTTTTGGAAGCGCCTATGTGGCCGAACGTTGAGGCCAGACCTGCCAAGCTATCGGATCATGTGTTCCCCGAGTCGGTTTGGAAAGCCTTCGGGGAGCACATGGGCATCTTGAAGGTCATCTTGGCCGTCTGGAGGCAATTTTGACCCTTTCGGGCCTTCTTGGAGGACGTCTTGGAGGGCTCTTGGGTCGTCTTGGAGGCCATCTTGAGCGTTTTGGAGGCCTCTTGGGCCGTCTTGGGGGCCTCTTGGGGCCGTCTTGGGCGATCTTTGGGGCCCTTGCCGTCTCGGGCCGTCGGAAGGCCGAAAAGAAGCAAATGCCACAATCCTTCAAAAACTCTTGGGAAATCAATGATTTTTGCCTTTTCGGGCCTTCTGGGGGCCCTCTTGGAGGCCTCTTGGGCCATCTTAAGGCCATCTTCGGCCGTCTTGGTGGGCTCCTGGCCCGTCTGATGCCGTCGGAAGCCGTTTGGGGGGTCTCTCTGGGCCGACGTGGGGCCCTCTTGGAATGCTCCAGGGCCGTCTTGGAGGCCATCTTGGGCGTCTTAAAGGCCTCCTGGGCCGTCTTGGGGGCCTCTTGGGCCGTTCTGGGGCCATCTTGGAGGCCTCTTGGGCGATCTTTGGGCGATCTTTGGGGGCCGTCTCGGGCCGTCGGAAGGCTGAAAAGAAGCAAATGTCAAAATCTTTAAAATGCCAAGGGAAATGCTTGTTTTTGGCCTTTTCTAGCCTTCCTGGAGGCCTCTTGGAGGCCTCTTGGGCCGTCTTGGGCCAGCTTCGAGCCAACTTCGGCCATCTCAGTGGGTTCCTGGCACGTCTGACGCCGTCGGGAGCCGTCTTGGGTGCCTCTCTGGGCCGACTTGGGGCCCTCTTGGGGCGCTTCGGGGCCGTCTTAGAGGCCATCTTGGGCGTCTTGGAGGCCTCTTGGCCCGTCTTGGGGCCCTCTTGGGGCCGTCTTG